CTTCTTCTTCTTCTTCTTCTTCTTCTTCTTTTTCTTCTTCTTCTTCTTCTTCTATCTTTTTCTTCTTCTATACTACTTCTTGTATCCAGTTTAAATGTATCCAAATGTGGACAATAGCGGTGACCATTGACAGACATTGAGGCTTAGTGGGCACGTTGTTGTAGTCAAACATTTGTATAGAACACTCAGTGAGCGTGATGCTGTAAATATCCCTGCTGCCTACTTGATTTCCCAGGACGATTCCTGTTGACCTGGATGCTTTGATCATTCAAACAATTTTCGCCTTTATCGCAACTCGACCCTCAATCTGTAGGGTCCACAAGCTAGGGTACTGGCCACTACGGTCCAGTAGCTTCCTGTCCTGTGTAAGCTTTTAAAAACTTGATATTCTGGGGCTAAATATTCTTTCTGAAATGTCCACCCATGATTGCAATCCGAAAGATTATCCCCAGTGTAATTGCTCGCAGCAGAGATGTGGTTTTCGAGAAGAATGCACAAAATATCATAGAAGAATATAAAACAGATGAAGTAGTCCTCATGGAGACAGATGAAAGTCGTCAACTAACTAGAACAAATTAAACGAAGACGGTGGGTATTATCTGGACATGTTATAAGAAATGGAGTCGAGATCTCGGTAATCACTGGCAAGTTTGATGGAAAGAGGGCAAGAGAAAGATAAAAAGATAAATGTCTGGATGGCTTGACCAGATGGTTGAGGTGAGACAAAATCATTGAGCTGATACGTGTTTCTCGAGATCTTGTGAAATGACGAAACATGACAGCCAACACTTACCGGCATGGCACATGATGATGACGATGATGAGGATGAGGATGGCGACGAAGACGACACCCAGTAACTATATGAACCACTAGTTGTGTACAAATCCAACAGGAGTTTAAGCTACAAACCATGTTCAGCCATATAAGGCAGTTATTTTGGAACACTGAAGTCCAGTCTGGGGTATGTTGGGCATCTACCATACAGGTTCTTCTTCTTGTAGTCCTTGTCGTGTGGCGTTGGTATTCATGTCTATCCACAACCTTCTGTCGGGTGTGCTTTCAGTCAGTTTCGACACACTTTATCTTCCAAGCCATGATGTCAAACTGTCCTGCATCTTCTCTCTAGGTCTCTGTCTGCCTCTCTTCCCCTGCAACGAATCCACCGTCACAGTGCACTCCAGTTTTCCCTTGTCATGGTACGATTAAAGAATGTAGACTGTCTCCTTCAACTGTCATATAAGCGTTGACATCTGAATGCTACATACCTCTTGAATGCCGCAGCATAAACTTTACATTAGGTCGCTTGATGGAAGACTTGTGCTGGTTCTCAGATGTAGCAATAATTTTGTGTGTTCCCGGGTTGGAGTCTGTACCATTTTGTGTCAGAGCTTTCTTGACCGAGTTTCTGTAGAAGAGTATAAAACAGTAGCAATCATGTGTACGCTGGAAACCACGGATAAACACACATTTCAACTTGGAAGTTCAGCCAAGGAAAAGTCAAACAGCACAGATGGGCAATGTCAGGCTCGAAGATTACATAAGATTTAAAAAAAAAAAGGATGCACGTTCTTAAAGAGGCTCTTAAATGTGTCTCCCTCCATTTTAACAGTTCTGAGTACCGAGGTTTTAGTGATATCTCAGTTACTGATACAAAATCTTGCTCCGGTGATCAGACCAGCCGCTACTCCTAAGAAAATCGTGTCAGTCAGTTTTGGTGTTCTCAGTCCTGGAGAGATCAATATGTCTCTCTTGACAGAGCCGCACTTTTTTTCAATAAATAACCTTGGTTCTCAGGTCACCCAAGCCTTGAGTGGGTACTAGGTATAATCATGGGAAGTAATGGCGGCCGGCTTTATACTGACCATGTCACCCAGTAAGTGCCGATTAGTCTCTAAAATATAGGTCTCGCCCTATATGCCCAAGACGCCCAAAGGCGTGCAAAAGAGTCCTTTACTTCGTTTATACAAATAACAATCGTACTTTTCAACAAAAATCATCATCGAGGAACAAAACAAGGGCTTAACGATAACAAGGGAATAAATAGCATGATATCACAAATAATATAGTCCACAAAGCGACAATGGTCAGTGATTATTTACATCAGCTTGAAAGTATCTGCTTACTGTCGATACTATCATGATTATACTTCATCATCACATCGTCATCATCATCTTCATTATCATCACCATCATCGTCGTCATCATAACCACCATCATCATCACTATCATCATCATCTTCTTCTTCTTCCTAATCGATTTCGGACTTTGTCCAGCGTCTCGCGACTCGACTTGCAACTTGTAACTTCACCGACTTGTTACAACTAGTTCTTGGTGATCGGCCACTGTGATTTAGTGATCAGCTTCACATTTTAAAACATATTCATATAAAACAGAACAGAAACAAAGCCTGCTTCTATTTACCAAGCTTTCACATTCGGCTTTTTTCACTGTTGTATATAGTGAGTTTTTTGTTGTTGTTGTTGTTGTTTTTTTTTTTTTTTTTTTTGCACTGCCATGTTCGATTTTGTATTGTCGCCATTTTTTTTAAATAAGCATTGTCCCATGCACGGCTTGCAAATGACTTGAAACAGAAGTGACTTGACTCAGGACCTGACTTGGGAATATTCTTGGTGACTTGAGACTTGACTTGAGACTTAATGGCAATGACTTGGGACTCGGCTTGGATTTAAAAGGTGGCGACCTAGTCCAGTCTTTGCCAACAGCATGTATCAGATCTCAGGCTGACAACTCTCGATGGCATAACAAAAGGTTGTTAAGAATCGTCTTGTGTTGTCTCTATCCGGTCTTCCACAAATCTTTCCGGTGGTCACAATTTATTCCAGTTTCCCTCCTCTCTTAATATGTCCGTGTTTTTGTAGACAGCTCTCTCGGAGGTCGGCGTTTTTGTAGAAAGCTCTCTCGGAGGTCCGCGTTTGTGTAGCTACTCTCTCGGAGGTCCGTGTTTTTGTAGAAAGCTCTCTCGGAGGTCCGCGTTTGTGTAGCTACTCTCTCGGAGATCCGCGTTCTTGTAGAGTTTTCGAGTCCTCAGCTCTTTCCAAACACCTGGGTTACTCACTCTGGCTACCTATGAAACTGTAAGCATTCTTTTGTAAAATCATGTCTCTGAAGTGTCTAGAAATTGTTTGGCTTGTTTACAATCGTCATGGATTGACAGCCGCATTGTGTCCATGTATCGCACAAAAAGAAAAGTATAGATCATGATGAGAGAAATTAGACCTAGACAATCAACACTTGCTTGGACATGTCTTGAGGAGCAATCATGTTCAAAACGTTGTAATAACTGGTCAATTTGACCAGAAACAGGTGAAGGAATTGTGTTGGGAAACGAACAGGCAGACAGAATTGCTGGTTCTGCACAACTAGGTGGTGAACTGATGCATTCAATGTTAAAGTTGTGAAGATCTTTTGGGAACGAGTGAACAAGAAGAAAATCAAATCACTTAAAGATCAAACATTCTCACAAAAATACACATCCAAACAACTAAACAACACAATGTTTTTTCACTCACCCGTCTATTTTTAAATCCTCCTGGTGACTTGTTTTGTCTTTGTTCTGTGGCAGCTTGCGGGGGAACCAGAAGAGCGGAAGTGAAATGACGAGAGCCAAAGAACCAAAGACTACATAGCCCAGCCACCAGGCCCCGATCCATCTTCGATGTCCTGGGGTTAGTGTTGTGGCTGTGGACAGGGACAGTACAGTGCGACAATGTCATGTTCATAGACAGAACAGTGGGACAATGTCATGTTCACAGACAGTACAGTGTGACAATGTCATGTTCACAGACAGTACAGTGTGACAATGTCATGTTCACAGACAGTACAGTGTGACAATGTCATGTTCATAGACAGTACAGTGTGACAATGTCATGTTCATAGACAGTACAGTGTGACAATGTCATGTTCACAGAGAGTACAGTGTGACAATGTCATGTTCATAGACAGTACAGTGCGACAATGTCATGTTCACAAGAGTACAATGTGACAATGTCATGTTCACACACAGACAGTACAGTGTGACAATGTCATGTTCACAGAGAGTACAGTGCGACAATGTCATGTTCACAGACAATACAGTGTGACAATGTCATGTTCACAGACAGTACAATGTGACAATGTCATGTTCACACACAGACAGTACAGTGTGACAATGTCATGTTCACACACAGACAGTACAGTGTGACAGTTAGTCAGTTAGTCTGTCTGTCTGTGTGTCCGTCTCAGTGTCCGTCTGTATGTCCGTCCGTGCATCCATCCATCCATCCATCCATACATCCATCCATCCATACATTCATCCATACATCCATCCATACATCCATACATACATCCATCCATACATCCATCCATACATCCATACATCCATACATCCATCCATCCATACATCCATCCATACATCCATCCATACATCCATCCATACATCCATCCATACATCCATCCATCCATACATCCATCCATACATCCATCCATACATCCATCCATACATCCATCCATACATCCATCCATACATCCATCCATCCATCCATCCATACATCCATCCATACATCCATCCATACATCCATCCATACATCCATCCATACATCCATCCATACACCCATACGTCTACTCATCAGTCTGTATGTCAGTTTGCTTGCCTGTCTGTCCATTCAACCCTCTTTTTTCCCCCCATAAGTCTTTCTGGAGGCCTTTCTGCCTCAACATATAAATCCTGTCTGTGGGTGTGTTTATCCGTCTGTCTTATTGCCTGCCTTTCTGTTGACCTTACTGTCTGTTTATACATGTTACTGTGTGCCTCTTCCTCAATGTTTTATTTATTTGCACGCATGTTTGGCTTTTCATTAACTGTAATGTGACGCCTGTTTAGAATGTAATATGACCCATACTTAAATTGTGGTGTGACGTCTGTCTACACTGAAATGTAACCTATACTTCAAATGTAGTGTGACGACTGCTTACAGTGAAATTCGTGTAACATATACTTAAATTGTGGTGTGACGATTTCTTACATTGTAATGTAACCTATACTTAAATGTTGGTGTGGCGATTGTTTACATTGTAATGTAACCTAAACTTAAATTGTGGTGTGACGTCTGTCTACACTGAAATGTAACATATACTTGAATTGTAGTGTGACGACTGCTTAAAGTGAAATTAGTGTAACAAATACTTAAATTGTGGTGTGACGATTGCTTACATTGTAATGTATCCTATACTTAAATGTTGGTGTGGCAATTGTTTACATTGTAATGTAACCTAAACTTAAATTGTGGTGTGACGTCTGTCTACACTGAAATGTAACATATACTTGAATTGTAGTGTGACGACTGCTTACAGTGAAATTAGTGTAACAAATACTTAAATTGTGGTGTGACGTCTGTCTAGACTGAAATGTAACCTATACTTGAGTTGTAGTGTGACGATTGCTTACATTGTAATGTAACCTATACTTAAATTGTGGTGTGACGATTGCTTACATTGTAATGTAACCTATACTTAAATTGTGGTGTGACGATTGCTTACATTGTAATGTAACCTATACTTAAATTGTGGTGTGACGATTGCTTACATTGTAATGTAACCTATACTTAAATTGAGGTGTGACGTCTGTCTACACTGAAATGTAACCTATACTTGAGTTGTAGTGTGACGATTGCTTACAATGTAATGTAACCTATACTTAAATTGTGTTGTGACGTCGGTCTACACTGAAATGTAACCTATACTTGAGTTGTAGTGTGACGACTGCTTACACTGAAATTAGTGTAACATATACTTAAAGTGTGGTGTGACGATTGCCTACATTGTAATGTGGCGTCTATTTGAATTGTAATGGAATGTCTGCTTTCAGTGTAACCTTTGCCTACTCACCTTGTAGTGTGACGTCTACTCACCTTGTAGTGTGACGTCTACTCACCTTGTAGTGTGACGTCTACTCACCTTGTAGTGTGACGTCTACTCACCTTGTAGTGTGACGTCTACTCACCTTGTAGTGTGACTACTCACCTTGTAGTGTGACGTCTACTCACCTTGTAGTGTGACGTCTACTCACCTTGTAGTGTGACGTCTACTCACCTTGTAGTGTGACTACTCACCTTGTAGTGTGACGTCTACTCACCTTGTAGTGTGACGTCTACTCACCTTGTAGTGTGACTACTCACCTTGTAGTGTGACATACATCCGGCTAAAAAGTTCACACATCAGGTAGGCATAAGTCTTTCTGGAGGCCTTTCTGCCTCAACATATAAACCCTGTCTGTGGGTGTGTTTATCCGTCTGTCTTATTGCCTGCCTTTCTGTTGACCTTACTGTCTGTTTATACATGTTACTGTGTGCCTCTTCCTCAATGTTTTATTTATTTGCACGCATGTTTGGCTTTTCATTAACTGTAATGTGACGCCTGTTTAGAATGTAATATGACCCATACTTAAATTGTGGTGTGACGTCTGTCTACACTGAAATGTAACCTATACTTCAAATGTAGTGTGACGACTGCTTACAGTGAAATTCGTGTAACATATACTTAAATTGTGGTGTGACGATTTCTTACATTGTAATGTAACCTATACTTAAATGTTGGTGTGGCGATTGTTTACATTGTAATGTAACCTAAACTTAAATTGTGGTGTGACGTCTGTCTACACTGAAATGTAACATATACTTGAATTGTAGTGTGACGACTGCTTAAAGTGAAATTAGTGTAAAAATACTTAAATTGTGGTGTGACGATTGCTTACATTGTAATGTATCCTATACTTAAATGTTGGTGTGGCAATTGTTTACATTGTAATGTAACCTAAACTTAAATTGTGGTGTGACGTCTGTCTACACTGAAATGTAACATATACTTGAATTGTAGTGTGACGACTGCTTACAGTGAAATTAGTGTAACAAATACTTAAATTGTGGTGTGACGTCTGTCTAGACTGAAATGTAACCTATACTTGAGTTGTAGTGTGACGATTGCTTACATTGTAATGTAACCTATACTTAAATTGTGGTGTGACGATTGCTTACATTGTAATGTAACCTATACTTAAATTGTGGTGTGACGATTGCTTACATTGTAATGTAACCTATACTTAAATTGTGGTGTGACGATTGCTTACATTGTAATGTAACCTATACTTAAATTGAGGTGTGACGTCTGTCTACACTGAAATGTAACCTATACTTGAGTTGTAGTGTGACGATTGCTTACAATGTAATGTAACCTATACTTAAATTGTGTTGTGACGTCGGTCTACACTGAAATGTAACCTATACTTGAGTTGTAGTGTGACGACTGCTTACACTGAAATTAGTGTAACATATACTTAAAGTGTGGTGTGACGATTGCCTACATTGTAATGTGGCGTCTATTTGAATTGTAATGGAATGTCTGCTTTCAGTGTAACCTTTGCCTACTCACCTTGTAGTGTGACGTCTACTCACCTTGTAGTGTGACGTCTACTCACCTTGTAGTGTGACGTCTACTCACCTTGTAGTGTGACGTCTACTCACCTTGTAGTGTGACGTCTACTCACCTTGTAGTGTGACTACTCACCTTGTAGTGTGACGTCTACTCACCTTGTAGTGTGACGTCTACTCACCTTGTAGTGTGACGTCTACTCACCTTGTAGTGTGACTACTCACCTTGTAGTGTGACGTCTACTCATCTTGTAGTGTGACGTCTACTCACCTTGTAGTGTGACTACTCACCTTGTAGTGTGACATACATCCGGCTAAAAAGTCCACCCATCAGGTAGGCACATGCTGGTCCAAGGACTCCAACAGCTGTTATAATACCTTTAGAGTGGATGACAACACCCAATAATTCTTCTAACAAAAAAGAAACTTCTTCTTCTTCTTCTTCTTCTTCTTCTTCTTCTTCTTCTTCTTCTTCTTCTTCTTCTTCTTCTTCTTCTTCTTCTTCTTCTTCTTCTTCTTCTTCTTCTTCTTCTTCTTCTTCTTTTCCACCTTGTACCTTATCGAAGCGTCGGGGGGAGCTGTAATGTTCGTTGATAAACTCTGCCAAGAGCACTATTAAGACTGATATTCATTTCTGTGAGGCTGTTCTTAATGCCATCACTCCAAAAAAGCAACAGCAGCTATATTGTCCCTTTTCAGTCTTTCCATAAGATAGTGTTACATAGTGCTATGGGGAGGCAGGGGACTCACAGCCCCTGCCTATGGCGAGTGTGACCTCGGTCCACGGCATTTGATTTCCCCGAATCTACCTCAATATATGTATCATTTATGTCCCGCTTGCAAAATTTTTTATATCGCAGTAGAGGCCGGCTTCGACATCTTTCAATTTGTAATTCACCAAAGAGGACGTCATTAGGGACTCTACCATCCTCCATTCTCCAGGTGGGACCCGGCCACCTGAGTCTTCGTAGACTGAGTATTGATAAAACCTACTCTCTACAATACTTTGTTGTCTATGACCTTGTCTTGCCACTTAAAGCCAGACATTCTTCTTAGACATCACCTGTGAAATCTAGATTGCAGTTTCTCTTAGTGGGGAAAAAACAATTGACCGCAAACAGAATAATAATAATCACAGTAGAAATAATAGGAATCTTGGCAACATTTGACGTTCTGCAAAATGTCGACCTCTACGCAAATTATCTAGATAGCATATGCCAGTATACAGTCGTATATGTGTAATAACTAACTATGCACAGAATGTCTGAAAGTATTGCGTAATGTCTGGTAATAGTTGCATAAGGACTAAAACCGTGTGCTTAATGTATGTTAGTTAGTACATATCGCTGAAACTTCTGCTTAATGACCTTTAGTATATGCTTGATGACAGATAGTATATGTGTGTTTGATATTATACGCATTATGTCCGGTAGTGCGTGTATTATACGCATAACATCCAGTAGTGCGTGTGCAATTTATGAGGGTATGCACGTAATGACTGATAGTATGTGCGCATTGACCGATACTGTGGCTTCTGAACCTCATAGATGATTTTAACTTAATAATACTTGATAACATGGCAGCCACCCTGATGTAGCGGTTAGATGCACGCCGGGGGATCTAAAAGTCAAGTGTTCAAATCCGAAGAGACTTTTTTAATGGCTTTAGTTAAAAGATAAACCCAACCTTAAATTTGTAGCAGGTAAAGTCGCATGAAGTAAAGGCGGTCGACGTGATGCTAACCATATCATCCCCCCAGTGATAATTGGTCTATAAGATTTGGTCTAGCCCTATATGCCCAATACGCCTGAAGGCCACGAAACGAGTCCTTTACTTAACTTATTAACATAGATCAGATGGTTGTTGGTAAATATGGTCCTGTGCACATTATAAGAAAAGCTCCCGACACACAAAAGAGGCGGTTGTTACAGTGCGTTTACAAATTCATGCCGTTGTATTTTCGATAATTTCTGGGTAATTACTTATCCTCGGAAAGTGATTTTAATTTTTTTTTTTTCTTTTTTTGCATTGGTTTTATTTTTCATGTTTTGTACAAATATGTAATTGAGAGTGCTAAGTGTGTCGAAACAGACGTTTTCTTTCTTATCTTCTTTACCTGTATAATTTTATTTATGTAACAAGACACATTTTACAGCACCCACGTGAATTACCCTAACCACAAATGTTATGCCTTTACAACTTGTGAGGAAATCTAGAAACGACCCAGCACACTACGATATTTTCAGCAATAGTTGAGTTCTTATTCAAAACTAACACAAAACATACAAAAAACATGTGTGTGTGTGTGTGTGTGTGTGTGTGTGTGTGTGTGTGTGTGTGTGTGTGTGTGTGTTTGTGTTTCATCAAAAATCGATTGGTTACATTTGAACTTTGTGTTGTTTAGTTCATAAAAGACAATCCAGGAAGGGTCATCGCATATTTATGTATCTTGAAAAAGCCACAACACAAAATGATTATAAATACTTGTTATGCGGGCAAAAAATGTGACACAAAAAAAATATCAATATATAGTTTCATTCATGTATATTCCACTACATCTAAAGGTGTTTTTTTTTTTATTTTTTAACAGTGGCAATAATTTGTAAACACTCTATAGTTAAAACCTGATCTTGATATACTATAAGAAAGGTACTCACCCACGTAAAAGCCAGTGTTGGCCTTGGCTGTATTGTCATCAACAAACGTGACCACAAAGGACAACCTGGGAGCTTTAGCGAAACCCTGAATGGCCATTCCGATGACGATGATGTAGAAAGATGCCAGTGCTATTCTTTCCTGAGAGACGGCTTTGGTTAGATCGGATTTTGAGGCTGTAATTAAAACCATCAGCTTATATCTACAAATTTGTTTTCGGTTGGGCGATAGACATGGCTACTAAAGACATCTTTCAAAGGGTGAATAGTTGGTCATGCCTTTTAATACACTTGTTTCCATAGTGAGGCGCATTCCTCGTTTGGAAATGAGAGGTTCGATTTCCGGCACGGTATCTATAGCTTTCGATGTTATGGGGTGTCTAGTGTGTCCCTCTATCGTCCCTTGCTTTGAGCACCCATCAATATCATCGCCCGTGAGATTAGTGTCAGTAAAATTCAAACGGGTTCTCAGTCTGTTTATTTCTTTTCTTTTTTTAAAATAAATTGTCGTTTTCGTCCGGTGGTAGGTAGGTAGGTAGTTATACCCACCAGGGCATCACACACGCGATAAACACCCGATCACACAAAGTGCCACCGTGCGAATGAGGATCACCCGTGGAGAGGTCCCAGAAACACTTTTCAGCCGTTAGGTCATATCTATGGCCTATGCCATATGTATGGCCCGGCTATATTCAGGGCCCCCGGCAAAAGCCAGGGTGGGGCTTCAAATAACGAAAATTTGCATCCCACATGGGGACTATTGCATATGACACAAGCGTCTGGTGTACAAGTTGTTGAATTTTGGCATGCAGCCTGTTAAAAATCGGCCCTTGCACAAAATGTTTTTAATATAAACAAACATTTAATTTTCAGCCTTTACAGTAAATGAAAAAATACACCTCTACTGAAAGCAAACAATCAGCATGTTTACAGTAAACTGTGTAACGGAAATTATTCAAAACATCTAATTGTACTAGATTCAGAGACGTTTCACTCTCAGTTGGTCAACTCCAGTATTAGTTTGAGTTGTGGATTTTGTATTGTATGCGGAATAGGCTATCCAAAAAATCACCATATTTTGCTGCACATGTGAACTAACAAACAATTTTTGTCAATTAAAGGCTTTTGTACACAAATGAGTGAAAACACAAATTATTAGTCAAAGGTCACAGAAATTTGCCGCCTGAAGAAAACAGCAGCACCTGTGCAATTTTAAATTAAGAAACAATAAGGACATTGTAAATCTAAGATCATAGGCAAAAATTCGTGTTGAACCAAAGAGGAGTTTTCAAGACACTGGTTACAGTTTGAGGGCACGAATTTTGAAATATACAATAGTCTGTAGTAGGATGACAATTTTTCGCAAACCTTACCTGCGCCACTTTCACAGAAGTCATAGGTGTTGTTCAACTGATCACACATTCGCCCAGATGTGGCCACTTGTTTGCGGGCGGCCTCCAAAGTTGCAGTGACGTTGTCGTAATCGCCCGCCGGGTTGGCGTTAACAGTAGCTCCAAACAGGAAATGGGGAAGTGAGCAGATGAGGCCAGATAGTCCAAACGTGATTGTGGCAACACCTGGCAAAGTAGTGATTTTATTTAAATGTCAACTAAGCGAAGATTTGAACAGCCAAAACAAACATAACTTCCAAATATACTCTATCAAAACTTTTTGCAGAGAATATCATCACCACTAACACCATCATCATCATCATCCCCTCGTCCTTATTATCATAAAATCATCAGTATTGTCATAAACATCAACAACATCATCATCCTCATCATCACCGCTATCACATTATCATCATCGCTATCATCGTCATTATCATTATGATATCATCATCATTACCATCATCGTAATCTCTATCGTTATCATCATTGCAAAGTCATCATCATCGTCATCATCGCCATCGTCACCAGACCACCACCGCAACCACCACCACAACCCCCATCACAACCACCCACCTCTCCATCATCATCGTCATGTTATGTCCATATACGTCAGACAGGGTTCACCATCTAGACCTCCAGTCCCTCATATCCTGTGCAAGCCTCTAGGTATCATCACCGCGATCACATTATCATCACCAGCATCAAATTATCATCATCGTCATAGTTAACATCTGCATTATCATCATGATATTATCATCATTATCATCATCATTATCATCATCATAATCACTATCGTTATCATCATCACAAAGTCATCGCCATCACGTCACCGTCATATCGCCACCAGACCACCACCGCAACCACCACCACCACCACAACCACAACCACCACCATAACCACCCCACATCCACAACCACCACCATAACCACCCCTATAAACCACCAAAACCACAACCACCACCATAACCACCCCTATAAACCACCAACACCAAAACCACCACAATACCCACCCCTATAAACCACAAACACCACAACCACCACCATAACCACCCCTATAACCACAACCACCACAATAACACAACCACCACCACAACCACCCCTATAACCACGACCACCACAACCACCACCATAACCACCCCTATAACCACCACCACCACAACCACTACAATAACACCACCACCACAACCACCCTCCTCTCCATCATCATCACCATGTTATGTCCATATACGTCACCATCCAGACCTCTAATCTGTCCTGTCCTGTGCAATCCTCTATCTATCTCCCTACACAACAACTTTGTCCTCTTTCAACAACCTTCATCTCAGGGTTTCTCTTAAACATCCTCGTTTCATCACTCTATTTGTTTTCCATTTCAGTGCCTTCTAATTATTTTATGTCTGTGTCTCCTAACAGTGTGGAAGATATCATTTTCTTTGTCATATAATTGATGCTACAAGCTGTTTTCCAGACATTTCGCATGCTTCCTCACCTGTACAGTTCGTCCATTTTAATGTCCTGCAAAAAGAAGACAGAAAGGATGAATAAAAGACAGCTGTACAAACACATACGAAGCCAGTCTTAAAACAACTGGATGACCCACCTAAAGATTTGGGTATGTGGCTCCTGGAGGCCACGTATCCGACGAACAAGACACAGACCAGGTACCCCATATCGTTTGCGGCCATGATAATGCCACTTTGGTGCGAGTTAAAGCCAAACTGTTTCTCAAGTGTGGTTACCTTTTTTGGAAATGTGATCACAAACAAATATGTTAGCTTCTTTTTTTTCCCGATCTTTAGTTACGCGCCTAAAGCTAAGTTGACATGATGTTTCGATTTGAACATCTATCTATCTATCTTCTTTTACCCCACCAGGACATCACACAAGCTATAAACACCCGATGACACAAAATGCCACCATGTGCATGAGGATCACCCATGGAGAGGTCCCAGAAACCGCGTTCAGCCATTAGACCATATTTATGGTCGGGCTATATTGCGGCCCCTGGCGAGAGCCAGAGGAGGGCTTTAAATAAAGAAAAATTGCATCCCCAAAAGGGATGAGACTTTTAGCAACGTTTTTTTTTTTTAACATTGAGTGGAACTGCCTCATAAACAGCGTCCTGTCCCGAAAGTTGAGGTGTTTCGGACATGTCAAGTGTCATGGTGGCCTGATCTGAACCGTGATGGAAGGTGCAGACTCCGGAAAACGAGACAGGGGCTGATCTCAGAGAAAATGTATAATAGAACATTGAAAACATATTGGATATGAAAGCACTTAGCTCTGGAGAACTGGCTAGACAAAGCGAGACTATCAGGCGAGCCGTGACGATAGGGGCGTTTTGTAAAGCTGTTTTATAATGATTATGTCATTTTTTTTTCCTGTTTACCTCAGTGATAGAGGTCACAGGGTCACATCATTAGTCACTCCATACATGCTATTTTTGTAGACTCCTACGAATATATTCCATTTAGTGATTCACTCTATTCTTGTTTTCGGATTACCACTTTTGTATAACTCTCTAATTTTCAAAGAAAAAAATAATGAAATGTTGATGAATACATTTTTAAAGAAAAATTAGTGACCTCAGTAGAATTCCCAAAGGTTGAAAGACACACACACACACACACACACACACACACACACATATATATATATATATATATATATATATATATATATATATATATATATATATATATATATATATAGGCAGTCGTTGAGTAAAAAGGTTTAAATCCACGTTGGACTTCAAACTTTGTTGTCAGATAAAAATTTCTCAAATGACCCCAACGTCTGGCTGTCAGGATTACTGGGTGTGTTCGTATGTTGCTAAACAAGACAGACTGGGGTAAGGAACCTTAATCTCCAACACTTCCACCTAGAGCCAGGTTAATCATAAGCACACCAGGCGCGTGCTAAGTGCATCACAAAGAGTGGGTGCCCCACAACAATATTTCAATAATCTGGGAGCTGAGCGAAAAACTCCCTGCAGAACAACAAGATAGGTTGGATGCCTTATCTTTGTTAAGTATAGATTTATTACATAAGATTAGTTTACGGATCTGATTAAAGAATGTATTTAATAAATATAGGAGAAATCTTTTCAAATATAAATACAACTGGAGACATTATTTTCCATCTTACTTTAAGATGTATTTAATTTCAATAGATAATATTTTATTTGAGGTTTATTATTGTTTATATTTATAATTACACATAATGGTTGCACCAGTTCTGTCTCAACACATGTGTACGCTGGGCACTGACCAGTGGGCCTACGAGAATAGAGCTCCCGATACTTATCTGTGTATGTCAAGTGACCATTTACTTGTAGTTCGTGTGGTCAGGGCCTAGGGACTCCAGCATACTGATCTGCGCAGGAACCTATGGAGCTGTTAAAACGGCCATGGGAAAGGGATGGGGTGGGAGAGGTGTGGGGGAGCGCCCCGAAGTTTTTCTGGTGCTTAAACAATCAAAGGATCCTAATCCGGTCCTTTTTTCACCTAACATCTTTATAAGCAAAGGAATGACAGGTTTTAGTTAACTTACTCCTCGTTTAAGAGCATAGTAATAATAATGTCTTCTTCTTCTTCGTCTCCTCCTCCTCGTTTCTCTTCACTTCCTCTTTTAAAGCTTCAGACCTCAAGAGAGCTATAAGATTCTGCTTATGTTTTTTTTTACCACCTAGTCTAGGTTTTGGTCTACCTTGCGCTCCACTTCTCCTGATTTTTTATGCATACCTTGTATGGTATGTCGTCACAATGCATTCTCCTTGAGTGGGTAAACCATTTAATTTGCTGTCTTTTGATGAAGTGTAGCATTGGCTCTGTGTCTAATTGTTTTTCTATAAACGTATTTCTGATTGTATCTCTTAAATAACAGTATAGAAAATTTTCGTGTAAACTACGACGACAACAAATAATCCTATAATTATTAGATAAAGGGACGATTTATTGTTCCACTCAAGCCTTTTTCAACAACTTTCGTACTGACAAACAAGATTACGAACAGATATGACCTACTTGTGAATTGACGTACGAGTTAAGTGTGGAGCTGACCAGAGCAGCAATGCTGTAGAAAGCCGAGAAGACGCCAATTTTGGCACACGGTTGCAGGAAATCTGGCCTGCATGTCCAGAACCCACAGGCGTTGTCTCGTCCAGTGTGAGTGACCATCTTGCCAATTTGTGCAGTTCCTACAATTTAGAGTTTTAATAGACAAGAAAGGACTGTAAACGACAGATGTCTATCTTTACACCACCTAAGAAGTCGGAATCCCAGAGTTATGGCGCCTGTGTACTCTGCCTTTATGAACTATCACGTAGAAGCTCTCCTGTTTATCCTGTAAAAAGTATCAAACAAGACAAGTAGAAACATTCAGCTCCACTGTGTCACAAACACAAACGACATTTGAAAGTTGGCACTACAGGGCTTTCAGCAGCACTTTACATAAACACACAATGCTACAAATACGAAAATAAAACAGAAAAATCACTTAAATTAAGTGTCTTCGAGAGAAATCACATATCTGCCTGGCCAGTGAATCTCTGACACGTGTGTGGATATCCTATGTCCGTCGCCGTAGTTATCTTTACTAAGTGTTCTTTTCGAGATTTTTAACGATGATCATTATGATATTCTAGGGACACATAAATGTGGTGGGAGTTTCCCTTTGATTTCCCACATCATCAGGGCTTCAGAAGATTGACGCACAGACAGGAAGTAGCGGTCCTGCTATTAGGATAGGAACATTAGGCCGGAGAGCTGGCGCACATACCACAATCTTAGTCACGCAAGTGGCGCAAACAGACCAGACCACAAAAATAACGGGAGATTGTTGACAGCGAGAACCAACAGCAGATGGGTAGGTAGGTAGTTGTACCCCAACAGAACATCAGACAAGCGATAAACACCCGGTGACACAAAGTACGTACCACGAATTAGTGCTAATTATTTTGTTTTTAAAATTTTGAAAACACGAAAACAGGAACAAAACGTCCTCTGTTGTCTCGAAACATTTCAGTATTTAGTTAAATGCAGACTGTTTATCCAACATTACAATCAATGATGTGTAAAACTGCAAAAACTGTTGATTGCCTGGTGGCACGCCTAATAAACTGAACAGATGACAGTAAATATTTAACAACCTGCAGACGCGAGGCGAGCCTGGCTCAAAGTGAAATAATGAAGGATTGTTGCCAGCAGAAAACTTTATGAAATCCACATTAAAAGGATTGCCAGACTGCCAAACGTTCCTACAGTTGCACTCAAATTAAGAAAAAAGTGAAGTTTTGGTGGGTAAATTAATTCAGTTCGGTCAAGAGATTAAACTTTAGGATTATTATTGATGACCGACATTTACACAATGCTTTTTATGTTAATTTTCTTTCATTGTTCAATGCTGGTGATAGAGCGTTGTGTAAGCAATGTCTGTCCATCTCCTTGCCCGACTTCTCTCTCTCTCTCTCTCTCCTCTCTCTCTCTCTCTCTCTCTCTCTCTCTCACAGAGAGAGAGAGAGAGAGAGAGAGTGGGAGAGAGAGAGAGAGCTGATCCACAACAGACAAAAGTAATCGCTGTGCCCATTCACCTGGCAAAGCACATTGACTGTCCAGGACATATCATGGTACCTAGGTTACATTTAGCAATCTGGGAACCAAGATCATTTGTGGAAACAATCCACTTCGAGGCTGATTTCTTCTTTTTCATTGCGATCAGTTTCCTTTGCTCAAGTGTTCAGTTGTGTTCACCAAAGTTTGTCTTGGATGCCTCTTTCCTCCGGTCATGGGTTTTCTCGGAGCTTTTTCTGCTGGAGTAAGTTCTGCAGTATGTGCTGTATGTGCTTAGGTGTTGTATGTGCAGTATGTGCTCAGATGTTGTATGTGCAGTATGTGCTCAGGTGTTGTATGTGCAATATGTGCTCAGGTGTTTGGAGTGCCGTTTGGCTGGAACACTAGACGGATTGTGCAGCCTTCATTCTACGCAAGTATGCTCGTGCAAGGTTATTTCATTCTTCGATATAGTTGTAATATTCGTACAACATGACAAGACATTCATAAACAACTTCAAGTCTTTATTGTGGTATTTTAAGCTTATATTTTTTTAATGCTGTGTGCTGCCTTTTGTTTGATTTGTTAACTGTTATTTTGTTCTCCTCCTCCATGAGTTTTTGCACTTCATGTTGGGATATGTATGATATGGGTGTCATGTTTTTCCAGTGTTTCATCTTTGGCCAGTTTATCTGCCATCTCATCTCCTGCTTTGTCCCAATGGGTGGAATCCACTGTACGATTTCTAAGAGTTTGTTGGCAGGTTATCTCTCTTTCCATGTTATCTTGTTGTTTGCTATTAATCAGTTCACAATCCTAATATGGGACGCAATTTTTCGTTATTTTAAAGCCCTGCCTCTGCTGTAGTCAGGGACCCTAATAGAATCCGAATTATAGATTGAACGGGGATTCTGTGACTTATGCCTGGGTGATCCTCATCCGAATGGTGGCACTTTATGTCTACGGGTGTTGGTGGCTCGTTCGTACGTTCTGGTGGGGTTGAACAAGAACAGCATCTTATGGTTCACCCTGCGAGAGCTGTAGGGCAGACATGCAATCGCACGAGTTCTCATGAATAAGTCTTTGATGCCTCTATACTCAAGGATCCTTGCAGCTGATAGCTTATTGTTCAGCTCTCAAGTATAACGACCACTAAATCCAGCCACTCCAGCGACAGTCCGGATGTCTCTTGAGAATCGCTTTATTTACACTTTGGGGACTTTAACACCCTCCGGACTGAATTACCAACACAGTTTCATTTAACCTCCTAGAGGATTTACCTGCCCTCACAGTTTTATCTCTAACCCCCCCCCCCCCCCCCCCAAGTTATGGTCCTTGGTACTCCACAGGGGGTATTTATCCCCTCCCCCCCCCCCCCCCCCACATCCCATGTGTGTATGCATTTGGCTGAGGAGAATCCATCGATTCGGCTGTTTCGAGATACCAGCTAAGTGATGCTGTGTATTTGTGTAGTATTGTGTGATTTGTATACGCAGATAAAGGCTCCATAGCCGCAACGTTCACGTTTTGTTTGTATTTGTTATATTGTGAAGCTTGCTAATATACTTTTCGTTCGGTTTTATATCTTTTCAAGTGTAACGAGAAATGTCTAGCTGTGTATGAATTTTCGTAATAATAATAATAATATGATAATAATAAATAATAATAATAACAACAACAACAAAAACAACAGTAATAATGTGAATAATGTGAAAGACATAAACAAGTAAGTACTTCAATATATGGTCTGGTGCCGGTAACCGAGGGGGGGGGGGGGGGGAGTGGAGTAAGTTTGACCCTAGCATTGTTGAGGTGGGGAGGAGGGGCAACTTCAAGGTGCCCCCTTCCCCTACACCGATGCCCCTACTGACCGCATTCAGACGTCATCTCCTGACAGCTGGACACCAACTGAATGGATGGACTTGTTTCTGTATTTATGGCCAGATAGTAGTGTGGGATTACTGCACCGTAATGTACCAGTTAGTAGTTCTAGCAATGTGTTTTATAATTGTCCGTGCGCCTTTGTGTGCGTTTTAATTCCCTCGGTTAAGGCATCATTAAGTGCTAATAATTTTTCTGTCATCATTCTATTGTTTAGCATTTATTGACTGGCTGCGTGGTCTCGAGGCATGGTGTCCGCCTCGAGTGCTGGAGGTGCCGAGTTCAATCCCTGATAAGGGCTGGGATTTTTTGAACGTGGACTTGGACTTTTAGTAAATTCCCCTTTATCTCTGGGTAGTGGGATCGGACGCCCGTGTGCATTGATGCGCACGTAAAAATACACCTTAGCAGTTGAAAATCGAAAACAGTAGCCTAACGGCGCTGCCCGGGCAAAATTTGGAGTTGAAAATTTACCTAAAGTATTTCAGAATCATCGCCGTTGCTACAGAGCCTGTGCACTGTGCTGAGCTTCTTCCGACTCAGACTTGAGTTTGAAGAAGAGCTGAGCACTAATGCGTTACTACCCGTGTGCCATGATCGTTGTTCAAACCTCAAACGGCTGTAATTTATGGCGGGAAATTGTGGTTGTTCATCCACTGCTGGTCCTTGGTCTTGATTCAAAACTTGAGTGTTGCTGCACATCCGTTTTACAGATCTTGTTTATTTTTGTATGTATTCATATTATAGAATACTGTTGGTTCTTGCCTCTGTCAAATGCACTCTTACTTTGAAGGAAACACCCCTAATTAGTCGCCTTTTACGACATGCTTGATAAAAGGCTGTGGGTCTATCCTTTGTTCTCTAAAATGGACCCTCCGAACCTATACGAGGTGTTCTGTCATTTTAATTCCAAGCATACGATTACAAACATAAAAAAGACAACCATAATTGTTTGATCATAATATGAAAAGGACATTGGAAACTGTTGTGATAACTGGAAAGTTCTGTGGAAAAAGAGACAGAGGAAGACAATGGAAAAAGATTCTTTACAGCCTTTTGTTATGGCATGGAGGGCTGTCAGCACATAAACTGACAAATCATGTCGATGATCGCTGACTGTGGAGAGGCATGATCGCCTACGCCAATGGGCAAAGTCACTTGATTGTAATGATTTCCACCTCCAGTTACATTTCTAGGCGCCTTTTCTTAAAATCAATTTCCAGGAAATTGTGTGGCACAGGTGTTTGTGAGGCTGCCTAGATCCTAGAGCCCAGCTTTTGGGTAAAACTAAACATGTCCCTTTAGAGGTTCGAACCCAGACCCCTGTCATAGAAGGCGAGCCAAGTTCTGGCTGACATCTTCTTCTTCCAGTATCTGTTTCTTCTCCTTCCCTTTCACGGACTGTAAATTCTGGCGTATAGTTCTAGTTGTTTATTTCTGGACTTTCAGTCTTTTTACAAAGCTTGAGTGTTGCGTGTGCATCCGTTTGACTCCGACTTCGAAGGAAGCTCCCAGTTAGTCGACTCTTACGACACGCTTCTTTGGGTAGCCAGTGGGTCTATTCTTGTTTCCCTTCACTAGGGCCCTGGAACCCACACGGGGTGAAATATTTTGGGCTATCCTCCGAATAACTGTCCTAAATTATCGAGGCGGAAAATATACCATAACAGGGCCTCAGTCACGTGTCAGTTGCGCACTTCCGGGGACTAAAATGCCACCGCTGAATTGCAAACTTCTGCCACCGCTGA